GCACGCACGCACGCACGCACGCACGCACGCACGCACGCACGCACGCACGCACGCACGCACGCACGCACGCACGCACGCACGCACGCACGCACGCACGCACGCACAACACACAGCATTCTCAATTGTCGATCTGAGCATAGAACGCTGACATATTCGACGGAAAAGGATTTTCTTTGGAAGGATGAGGTTGCGCGGGAAAGGAAGTAGCGTATCGCTATTTAGCAAAAGCTCCATACGTACGAGTACAATAATAGTAATCGACGGCACGCGACTGAGAAGCGAGCGCGCATGTGCGTTCGGTACACGCGTGACTTGTGGATGAGTGCCTATTAAGAACGTGCGTACCACGCCTTAAGTAGGGCAAGTGGCCGCAGGTCATAATGTTGTTAAGTAAATAATGGTCACAAACTCGTAGGACCTTATTATACTCGAATACCACTCGAAACGAAAGTCGTACTCGTTAGTGACGGCCTTTAATTCTCTTCGTTCGTTCATTCGTTCGTTCATTTCGCTTGTTTGCTCGTTCGCTCGCTCTCCTTCCGTAAATTCTTTTTTCTTCAGGACGAATCTTTCTCACCCTCCATAATATAAGGGAAGTATATGCATTTATATTCTAACGTTTATACCCAAGTGTGCTCTCGTTTCTCTGACAAACTCACCTTATTGCTGACACCTTATTTTGCGTATCAACGAACTTATTTCTAATTTGACAAGGAAGAGATCTTTCAATGTGTATTCAATATCGAAATCCTTATAATTTTCTCATATTCATCTAGCGCACTATGTACGCACCATATTCATGTTTCACATTTAAAAATGTTCAAATCAGATAAATTAGGTCATATTTAATATTAAAGGAAAACATTTGTATCCGGGATATGTGTCTCTACTCATATCGGGATCAAATGCCTTTCTTTTTTTCCGCTCAATATCACTTTACTTCAATGCAGTTGTAATCAATTGTCGGTTTGTTACGAAAATTGTGTGTAACATTTTTTTATCATTCATATCGTACTTTATTGTTACCTCTGGCAGTGACATCTGAAAGAGAGATTGCTTTTGATTGCGATCGCATCGCAAATATAGAATTGCGATTAATAAAATCTACATATATTTTGTTACACTCATGTTCATTCAATTCGCACTTGCGATAAAACGATCCATTGAATTGCTCAAATTGCGAATTTTAATACTTTCTGGTATAATTCGCCCCGTTTTTTTTCTTTCTTTTGTTTCGATTGATTACTTGATAAGAAAAATCAAATAATGTTTTAGATAAATTATTTACAAACAAATAATAAGCAAATAAACATAGTAAAAATCTACTTTATCATGTAAAAAAATGTTATATATTGCTAAATTTTATGTCTCACTGTTTTATTTTATGTTTTAAACCGTATAAATGATTACCTTTATTTTTGTGCAACATCTTTTGTCGCGGTATGTAATTTTTATTACAAGTTACATGCTTCTTCTAGCGTATATCACATAATTCCCGATTATATCACGTAAAGAAAAAGAAAGACACGAAGGAGACGAGATGGTCGTGATAGTAATCGCTTCTCAAACAAATTCAAAGTGTGTAAAAAAAAAAGACAAACGATGTCGACGAGGAATATCATATTCTTTCTGTGAGAGAAAAATGCTTCCGTGCTTCCTGATGGAACACAGTTTCTGTCGCCGATGAAAAAAATGGAACGGAAAGAAAAAAACTTAACTTTCTTCAAGAAATAATTGATGACTATTTGAGCTTATTTATGTCTATTTGAGTCTATCGTATTTATTGTAGAATTTGATATAGAAAGGCGCAAAAATTTCTAAATCTAAATCTAAAGTTATTTATCAATAAATTTGTAAATCAACAATTTCTGATTGCACAAAATCACCGTTGTTATAAGATTTCAACATTGTATTGTCACGATCGAGCGTTGATCAGCTCGTCATTGCCTCCCGAATATTGATCTATCGAGAAGAAGATCGATTTCCTACCGACGTGGCGACGCCGGCGCGTTGTAGTTTGAAGTGATTTTTCGGCAGATTAACATATTTGGAGTAAGACGTTTCATCACAACATTCGTTTCATTCACCAATGAATCGTATTGTTTTTATTTTCCCTTTTTATTTTTATTTTAATATTAAATATATAATAAAATATTGAGTACCATGAATTCAATTTTATGGAGTTGAGATTAGTAGCTAAATCAAAGTTTAGAAATGAAGAAATAATAAATTTAAGCTTAATTTAAGATTTTAATCACAATCTGTATAGACAAACAAACGGACAAGTTGGTACATGTTCTCGATCTATTAGTAGATCATCCTAACGATCTATTACTTTTGTTGATTCATTAGCCTGCTGGTCCAACTCAATTTTACAGTGATATTAATAATCGAGACGACAAGCCTATATCGTTAAAACCAATAAATCGTTAAAAGTATATGTGAAGAGTAGAGAAGATACTATTCCTAATTCCTACACAACGAAAAAACCCTTCGGGCACACCTGGTTTCAATTACGATGCCGATTATACCGCACGTACCTGTGAGACGAGGGAGGTACGTAAAATGTCTCTCTGGACCGATCTTGGAAACAGAGTGCTTACACTAGTATAGAAGCGAGGAGAGTCTTCGGTCGAGAAGTTTAGCAGTAATTGAATTTCTCGGACCAGTGCCTTCGACTGCGGGGGATTCTGAGTTGGTCGCTAGTCGCGCGTACACACACACACACACACGCGCGCGCGCGCGCACACACACACATCGCGCGCACTGTACATTCTCTTTCTCTCTCGTTTCCTTTGGAGTAGGTCGGAGAGATCACGAGGTTGCTTACTACCAAGTAGGTGGGTGTACTCTCGGTAGCGGAGAGAATTTGACGAGCCCCCATTATATACGAATAGGGAGAAAAAGATATCCACTTCTTTATACTTAATGCTAAAGGAATGGATACTCGCGATCTTGCAAAAAAGGAATAAAAAGAAAAAGAAAAGAAAGAATAAATCCTTTTTTTGAACGCGCAAAATAAATTTCAGCACAAGACTAACAAAATTTTGTTTCTTTCAATTTTTTCACCAAGTTTAACGTAGCGATAAAATGACGTAAAAAGAATGTAGTAACGATATTATTTCTTATATAAACTTGTCGCGATTTTCTTCCAAACGAAACATGTTTAATAAAATTTATTCATCTTGGAAACTCGTTATTCGACAATTTATGACGATTTTTTTCAAATTGTAGAAAACCTTTGTTATTATAAATATTGTTTTTATTCAAATTAGCATTTAATTAGAGAAACATTAACGACGAATTTTTCGCGATTTTTTAACCGTATAAGTCGCCCTGTGATTTCTAATGTCCATTTATAATATAATTTATAATAATAATTTTTATAATAAGGTATTTTTCGTATTTTTCAGCTTTAAAATTTTTTAATTTGGGTAACCAAAACTTGTTAGATACGTACTAACTTTTATGTAATTAAGCGTACAATGATATGTATAATTGATCGCATATAGATTGGATATAGTTTTGAGTTATTCATGGATTGATTACGTTAACTGACATTTACGAGCGACGAAATACACGAGGGCGGGTTTCAAGGCATGGCAAAGGGCCGAAACGCCGCACGACGCAATCATTACGTCGAAAAGGACGATGTAGAGATTTGGTCTTTCCATTGAGATTCTCCATAGAGAAGCAAGGAGGAGTACGGAGGAACAGAGAGGAACAGGGGGGAACAGGGAGGAATAGGGAGGAATAGGAAGGAGCAGGGAGGAGTGGAGAGAGGAAGAGAGGGGCACAGGGAGGCTTTAGGAGTCAGAGTGCACACACGCACGCGGCAGGCGTGCTTTTGTACGTACGTGTGCGACACACCCTTTATCCCGTAAGGATCACTTGGTCGCTCCGTCTATCGTGGGGACCATTATCCGGCAATTTCTCGCAGGAGAGGGAGAAGCTTCTTCGAGTGTCCAAGAAACTTTGTGAAAGACCAGTTCGCTTCCGTTCTTCGTCCTTCGTGACTGCGGAGGACACCAGGAAATTATTTCGTCCCCACTGTAATACACCTCCCTGCGCTCTTTAGATTCTCCTTGCACTCGTGCTCGCGTGAATTTACGCGGCGTGTCTTCAATGGGAAACAAGCGACGTAAGAAAGATTCCTCTCGCGCGACAGATTTCTCTAAAATATCAAAAGCTCATCTGTTTGATATTGTTAAATTTTGTAAGTCAAACTCATTGTAAATCAATTTAAAAATATTTTTGAAAGCAAGTTATTCCCGTTGGTCAAATTATTCTTGGCGCGAGTAACTTGCTAATCGTATTCTTGCATTTGAATTTGAACAATAAATATAATATGAATTTT